ATACCCCGCCCTTCACTACCCAAAGGTGTCTCAGAGCGGCTTACAAACTCCTTTCCCTTCCCCTCCCCACAACAGACACCCTGTGAGGTAAAAGAAGAAGAAGAGATTGGATGTATACCCCGCCCTTCACTACCCAGAGGAGTCTCAGAGCGGCTCACAAACTCCTTTCCCTTCCCCTCCCCACAACAGACACCCTGTGAGGCAGGTGGGGCTGAGAGAGCTCTTGACAGAAACGGCTCTTTTTCAAGGACCGCTCTTATCAGAACTACGGCTTGCCCAAGGTCATCCAGCCAGGTGCAAGTGGAGGAGTGGGGAATCAAACCCAGTCCTCCCAGATTAGAGTCCGCGCACCTAACACACTACACCAAACTGGCTCCAGGGAGAGGTGGGGGCTTTGAAACTTTGCGAGGGAACCCTCCATCCGCCCATCCCCTCGCAGTAGCAACACAAGGGACGAGCCATGGTTGGCGTCGGCGTCCCCGAAGTTCGGCTCGGCCGAGGGACACAGTTCCGATCAGAGCTGCACCCGAGCACCCGTTCCTAGCAGGGCCTCACCGGGTTGGTCCCCGGCTGGCCTTGGGGCTCCAGGATGTATTTGTGGTGAAGGAGTGACGGGGCCATGTCGCTGTAAACCACAACCAATGCTCCCTCTAAGCTGTGGAGTCTCGTGAGCAAAAATTCCACTTTGTGAGCTCCTGGCATTAAAGTTGTGAGCGAGCGATTTGGCGGCTGCATCAATTAGTTTCCTCTGGAGCCCTCCTTCCTGAGCGGAGCCAAAAATGCGTGAGCCGGAGGCTAAGAGACGGTGAGCTAGCTCACACTAACTCAGCTTAGTGGGAACACTGACCACAACCAGTGTTCCCTCTAAGCTGAGCTAGCTCACAGTTTTTTAGCTTCCAGCTCAGACATTTTTGTTTCAGCTCAGGAAGGAGGGCTCCAGAGCAAACTAATTTATGCAGTAGCCGAGTCGCTCGCTCACAACTTTAATGCCCGTCGCTCACAGAGTAGAATTTTTGCTCACAAGACTCCACAGCTTAGGGGGGACATTGACCACAACCCTCGCCGCTTTGGCTCTGTGGGATTTCACTTCGTGAAACGTGGGTCGGCCGACTTCCCCCCCTGAGCTTTGGAGGCGAAACATCCGGAGACGTTCGCCATCACCCTGCCCACACGACATTTCTCAGACCACCCGTGGATCGGGGCCCTCTAGCCAGGGCGGGCCCGACGGGTGACTCACCCCTGCCGGCAGCGGCTTCATCCGACCTAGGAACTGCGTGCTTAAACCTGGCTTGTCGGTGGTGACTTTTCGAGTTCCTTGGGGATTCCTTGTTCAAACATTGCTGACTTTAAAAAAACACACACTATAATATTTCTATCTTTCCCTTTCTCCGTGTTCTCCCTCCTCCGCGTTATCCTCACAACGACTCTGTGAGGTAAGCGAGAGACTGACTAGGTTCAAGGTCACCCAGTTTGCTTCATGGCTGAGTGGGCGTAGGAGCCTCATCTCCCCGATTCCATGCTCTAACCACTAAACGGTACTCCCCCCATTAGCTACTATGACTGCCTGCATGGGTAAGGGCTACCTTGGAGCAAGGGTGGATGGTGTCTTCTCTTGGGGGCGGGGTGGGGTGGGGTTGAAGCCAATACTCCCTCTCAGCTGTGGAGTCCGGCGAGCAAAAATTCTGCTTAGTGAGCAACCAGCATTAAAGTGGTGAGGGAGCCATTTGGCTACGGCCAGTGTTCCCTCTAAAGCTGAGTTAGTGTGAGCTAGCTCACAGTTTTTCAGCCTCCAGCTCACACATTTGTGTCCTAGCTCAGGCAGGATGGCTCCAGAGCAGACTAATTTATGCAGTAGTCAAATGGCTCGCTCACAATTTTAATGCCAGTAGCTCACAAAGAAGAATTCTTACTCACAAGACTCCACAGCTTAGAGGGAGCATTGGCTACGGCATCCGTTAGTTTGCCTCTGGAGCCCTCCCTCCTGAGCCGGGACAAAAAATGTGCGAGCCGGAGGCGAAGAAGCCGTGAGCCAGCTCGCACTGTCTCAGCTTAGAGGGAACACTGGTTGATGCCTGCTTTCCAGTCTGTCTTGGGACCAGACAGTAACCACGACGTTGAGCCGAGAGGAGGAGAAGCACGGTATAAATACGCTGAATATCCCCTGACCTGGATGGACCCGGTCTCATCCGATCTCAGAAGCGAAGCAGGGTCGGCCCTGGTTAGTACTTGGATGGGAGACAAGGGCAAACCACCTCTGAATGTCTCTTCCCTGAAAAACCCTATGGGGTCACCATCAATTGGTTGTGACTCAACTGCACTCCCCCCCCCCCAAAAAAAAATTTAATCGATCACTTCCTCCTCTGTGGAGGACCTGCCCCTGTCTGGGCAGGCTGCTTCCCCACTTAGAGAGAAACATAACAAGAGATTGGATTTATACCCCACCCTTCACTACCGGAAGGAGTCTCAGAGCGGCTGACAACCTCCTTTCCCTTCCCCTCCCCACGACGGACACCCTGTGAGGTAGGCGGGGCTGAGAGAGCTCTTGACAGAAACGGCTCTTTTTCAAGGACAGCTCTTATCAGAACTACGGCTTGCCCAAGGTCATCCAGCAGGTGCAAGTGGAGGAGTGGGGAATCAAACCCGGTTCTCCCAGATTAGAGTCCACGCACTCAACCACTACACCAAACTGGAGGAGAAAGACACCCTGTGAGGTAGGCGGGGCTGAGAGAGCTCTTGACAGAAACGGCTCTTTTTCAAGGACAGCTCTTATCAGAACTACGGCTTGCCCAAGGTCATCCAGCAGGTGCAAGTGGAGGAGTGGGGAATCAAGCCCGGTTCTCCCAGATTAGAGTCCACGCACTCAACCACTACACCAAACTGGAGGAGAAAGAGAAGTAGAAGGAGGAGATTGGATTTATACCCTGCCCTTCACTCGAAGTCTCAGAGCGGCTTACGGTTTCCTTTCCCTTCCCCTCCCCACAACAGACACCCTGCGAGGCAGGCGGGGCTGAGAGAGCTCTCTCGAGGACTGCCCTTGGGAGGACATCTCTGAGAGAACTTGTGACCGACCCAAGGTCACACCAGCAGTTGCACGAAGAGAGGAAAGGCCGACGACCGCAGGCCCGAGCGGCGGGCGACTTACCGTGAGCGGCAAGGAGCAGATGACGAAGATGACGGTCATGAGGGCCAGCAGGATGAGGTGGTCCACCTCCTCCTCCCCGCGGCTGAACCAGCTCTTGCGCCGCCGCTGGGCCAGGTTGACGGAGCCGCGCCGCCGGGCCTTCTGCTTGAGGTACATCTGGCACAGGCTGCTGCTGACCAGGGCGTTGCAGAGGAAGATGGCGAGGATGAGGAGGGCCATGAGGGTGGCGTAGGAGAGGGAGAAGGCGGCGTCATGGCGCTTGTCCATGTGGACGAAGCACCAGGTCCCCGGGCAGTACTGCTTGTACTTCCCGACGCCCGCGAAGGGCAAGGCGCAGAACAAGGCGCTGACGGCGTAGATGAGGAGCAGGGCGGACTTGGTCCACCGGCGCAGGTTGTGCTGGGCGTAGACGTAGGGGTAGCTGATGGCCAGGCAGCGCTCCACCGCCATGGCACAGAGGATCATCATGGCGGCCAGGCTGAAGAACATCATGGCGAAGGCAAAGAGGTCGCAGAGCCAGCTCCCGCCCGCTGCCATCCCCAGCAAGGTGGCGTTGCGGGAGTAGGCCACGAAGACCACAGGGCTGACGACGCAGGTGCCCAGCAGGTCCGTGAGGGCCAGGCCGGTCACCAGGATGCAGAAGGACGACGTCTTGGTCCGCAGCTCCTTCCGGTGCACCCCCAGGATGGCCAGGGCCACCACGTTGCCCACCACCCCGAGGGTGAACATCAGCGAGCTCAGGGCCGGGTCGCCGTCATGCCGTAGGAAGGTGATGTTGCTGCAGTCGCCGTCGCGGGTTCCGGGGACGGAGGGCACCCAGGGGGTCGGGGTGGTTAGCATTGGGACGGGGAGGACCCCAGAGTTCTTTGGGAAGGAGGGGCCCGGAGCAAGGAGGGTGGCCGGGGGTCAGGGGGCTCGGGGTCTCAGTGGCAAGGAGGGGTCCGGGGGTTAAAGCTGGCGAGGAGGGTGAGATCCAGGACTCTCCGCCGGCAGCCAGTCTCCAAGGGCGAGCTGCCGGTTTGGAAGCCCGGCTGTAGGGAAGGTTGCGGTCTAGTGGCTCCGAGCGGCGGTGGGATATGGGCCAGCAGCCAACCTTCTCGGGTGCGTGTGTGGGGGAAGCAGAGAGCGTCAGGACGCCTGGGCCCCAGCCCGACCTCTTGGGCAAGCGTGAAGCCAGAGACGCGAGAGGCAGGCAGCAGGTTGGCCAACTTCCCTTCGGGATGCCGGTTCCGCCGACGAGGTGGCTTGCCAAGCCGTGGCAGTGCCAGGCTGCGGGGTGGTGCCAAGCAGGGCCGCGTGTCCCCTCCTCTCCAGGTGTCGGACCTTTCCTCAAGCGGGGAAGCGTGCGTGTCGATGCGATGTGGGTGCGTGCCTGCTTCCCTCTTTGCGTGGGCGATTCTCTGAGCTGTCATGAGCTGGAGAGGGAGTGAGAGAGCGGCTTTCAAGCCTGGCGGAGAGCCGGGAGCCGGGGAGGGGCCTGAGCAGGCCAATGGGTGGCAACGGGCCCGCCTGCCTTCACTCCCACGCTCTCTCTCGCTCTCACTCTCTCTTGCACTCCAGACAGGGAGGAGTGAGGCCTGACACAGCCTGCTCCGCCACAAGCTCCTTCTGCAAGAGGCAGGGCTTCCAGCTCCCTGCTCAACTCCACAGCTGCATTCGCTCGCAGGACTCTGGAGCTGCCAAGGCGATGAGGGGGCGGGAGCCCCTTCCCTAGGAGGAAAGGCCGCAGGGTCCGGGACCTGACAGTTTAGAAAAGGGACGACTAAGCGGAGATACGATGGTAAAGGTAAAGGTAAAGGTTCCCTTGCTCGAAAGCCAGTCGAGTCCGACTCTAGGGTTGCGGTGCTCATCTCCGTTTCCAAGCCAAAGAGCCAGCGCTGTCCGAAGACGTTTCCGTGGTCATGTGGCTGGCATGACTAAACACTGAGGCGCACGGAACGCTGTTACCTTCCCACCGAAGTGGTCCCTATTTATCTACTTGCAATTTCTTGCTTTCGAACTGCTAGGTTGGCAGGAGCTGGAACTAGAGACAGGAGCTCACCCTGTCTTGCGGCACCGGGTCTCGAACCGCTGAACTACTGACCTTCCACAGCCTGCAGTTCAGCGTCTTAACCACTTGAGCCACCGCAGCATGGTAGATGGTAGAGGTTCATAAAACCATGCACGGGGACAAAGGGAAACATTTCCCCCTCTCTGCCCCAGATGCTAGAACTCGAGGGCCATCCAATGAAGGTGATGAGCAGTAGGTTCAGGACGGCAAAAAGGAAACGCTGCTTTACACAGAGAGTAATTGATCTGTGGGCTTCACTGCCAGAGCATGTAGTGGTGGCCACAGGAATAGACAGCTTCAAAAGGGGATTGGATAGATTCAGGAAGGATGTCTGTCAATGGCGACTAGCCACGGTGACTGAGGGGGGCCTCCACATTCAGAGGCACGAAGACTCTGAATCCCAGAGCCAGGAGACAACCTCAGGGGAAGGTCTCAGTCTCCCCTGGTCTGATCCAGCAGGGCTCTTCTGATGTTGTTATATGCTATGACATTATAATCATACGCCACATTTCATGGCAACCATCTCTCCTGCATTTGGACCTGGAGACAGAGGGCCAGATCATGCCAATCTTTCCCGCAAACAAAAGCATTTTCACCAGTGCAAGGCATAGGGTTGCCAACCTCCAGGCACGGCCTGGGGACCTCCCAGAATTACCGCTGATCTCCAGCTGACAGAGATCAGTCGCCTTGGGGGAAATGGCTGCTTTGGAGGGTTGACTCTACGGCATCGTACCCCTCTGTCCCTCCCCTCCCCAAACCCCTCCCTCTCCAGGCTGCATCTCCAAAATCCCCAGGCATTTCCAAAACCGGAGCTGGCAACCCTACATAAGTGGCCTGCCTAAGTATCCCTGGACAGGACCAGACTTCGATTTGCTCCATTTGGGAATGATGAATTTCACGAATATGGTTTCCACCCTTTCTGGTCAGCGTCGCTCCTGCATGGAGTCGCTGGGCTCACAGAAAGGTACGAGATCAATATGGACAAACACGACCCGATCCGAAAATAAGTATAAGGACAACAGTCGTGAGAGTCTGACCCACAAATCAAGCCGTCACCAGGACTTGCAAAGAAAAAGCTTCCTATGTATTACGATCTAAAGCACTACAACATCTCTCCTTATATATAATTGAATAGTGGGTGCCAAAGTTCTAATTCTAAAATGCACTCCCTTAGTGTATGGCTGATGGCACTGCTCCTCAGCATATATCACCACCAATCAGAAGGCAAAGCCCGGGTCCCGCCCACACCACAACTGCTGCGACAACCTGGTCTTTTGCATATGGAAGCTGATTGGACTTCCGTCCATTCCACACCTCAAACTC